ACGACCACGACCACGGCCACGACCACGACCACGACCACGACCACGACGACGACGACGATGACGACGACGACCACGACCACAACCACGACCACAACGACCACGACCACGACGACGCACGACGACGCACGACGACGCACGACGACGCACGACGAGGCACGACGACGCACGACGCACGACGCACGACGTACGATGACGATGACGACGATGCTGACGACGACGACGTCGACGTCGACGATGACGACGACGAGCAGAGTTAAAGTAGTTACAGAGTAGAGTACAGTAGGAGTCGAGTAGAGGGTAGAGTAGAGTCGAGTAGAGTAGGGTGGGATACGGTAGGGTAGAGCAGAGTAGGATAGAGTAGAGTAGGCAGGTGTAGATCGGATTGGAGGAGTAGAGTAGAGCCGAATTGAGAAGAGTACGTAGACTGGTAGAGTAGGCCAGACATAGAGAAAAGTAGAGCATAGCTGAGTAGTGTAGAGTCGAGTAGAGTAAGAGTAGGAGTAGGAGTACAATGGACAATCTTATGTTAGGGTAGATTAGACGAGTGCAGAGTATATTATATTATAGTCGAGGAGAGTAGAGTAGAGCATAGCAGTGAAGGAGTGGAGTAGAGTAGACGACTTTTGTAAGAGCATCGTGGAGTCGAGTAAAGTATGTTAGGACAAGGTAGTGTAGTGTAGAGTAGGGCAGGGTAGAGTAGGGCGAATAGAGTCTATCAGAGTACGTGGGTAGAGTAGAGCAGAAGTAGAGCATGCCAGAGCTGAGTCGAGTATTATAGGAATAGGGCAGAGTAGAGTAAGGTCGAGTATAATAGAGTAGAGTAAAGTCGATTATAATATAACGTGTTAGGGTATGGTAGGGAAGGGCAGAGTATGACAGAGCAGAGTAGAGTATAATTCAGGAGAGTAGAGTAGAGTAGTTAATGAGTAATTCATAATAGAGTGGAGTCGAGTAAGAGCAACCCGAAGCAGAGTAGAGTATGTTAGGATACGGTAGGGTATGACAGAGTCGGGCAGAGTAGAGTGAAGTAGAGGAACGTAGAGTAGAGTAAGGTAGAGTACAGTAGAGCCCTGATCGGATTCTGAGTGGGGTTTCTGAGTGCGTGCTCTGACCCCCACCCAGGAGCAGTTTTTCCAAGCTTTCCTCTTCGCTGGGGGAAGTGCCCCGCTGGAAGGCAACCGTTGGATCATCCGGAATCGTGCCAGAACGCCGTCTTTGGGATTGCCACGCCGCGAATCGCCGTATTTTTAGCGTCTTGACGATCCGTGGACAAAACACAGTCTGAGGAACCAAAAGGCACAGTCTGTGGAAAAAAACACGGTGGAAAAACACCTTGTTGTTTTTTTTTGTCTTTCTTTCCACTTTTTTAATAATATATATATAGATATATATATATATATATATATATATATATATATATATATATGTTTTCTCCTACGATCGTGCCATATCATTATTCCCGGGATGCCAGCGCCGCAGATCTGCGTGACTGTTGCGCAGTGGCGCTCCGACGTTCTGCCAGAACACCACTTCCTGGGACGTTAGCCATGAGAATTTGGGGGGCGGACAGAACCCCCACCCTGACGCGTCGATTCGTGAATTGTCTCCTTTCGGTTGTCGAGAGGGCGCCGCGGCCGTCATCTTCCGGGCTTGCGCCCGCCGGGTTTGGGCCCGAGGTCGTTTACACTGACCACGTTTTGCTAAGGGGGATTCTGTCCATCCCCGGAGAATCTTTGAAACTGTTGTAAGCTCCTGGGACGAATCTGCGCGGCGCTACGGCGATAACCGCATTTTGAAAAGGAACCGTCCTCCATCCGTGAAGCTTGCTTCCAATGCTTTAGAAGCGAATGTGTGCGGCGCAAAGTCGAGAGTCCCGATTTGAAAGCGGACCGCCCTCGATCCGTGACACCCTTGCAGTTTTTCAAGGCACATGTGCGCGGCGCTACGGCGAGAGCAACATTTTGAAGCGGCCCGCCCTCCACCGGTAAAACGGTTGGAAATTCTCAGCTGCAATATCGTAGATTGTGAGGAGGTCTCAGGCGAAACGCCCGGCCCGCCCTGCAGACACTCATCGGGGTGCGACAGGGAGGAGTTATGCATCAGGAAAGTAGTGGAGGGTAAGGGTGAGGAGGAGGAAGAGGAGGAGGAGGAGGAGGAGGAGGAGGAGGAGGATGAGAAGGAGGAGGAGGAGGAGCAGGAGGAGGAGGAGGAGCAGGAGGAGGAGCAGGAGGAGGAGGAGGAGGAGGAAGAGGAGGAGGAAGAGGAGGAGGAGGAGAAGGAAGAGGAGGAGGAAGAAGAAGGGCAGGTTGAGGACCAGCGTGGCCCAAAATGTATCAACGATGCCGCACTTACCGTCCCATCCCAAGGCCCCCCGCCCCTGAGCCCATACGAGCGTTCCTTTTTCACTGCGCGAGGCGTTCCTCTTGCAGACGAGCGCCCCATGTTCTCGCAATGCAGGCGGGCGCTCCGTCTCGAAAGGTACCGCCTTGTATTCTTTTGAGTTATAAGGAACGCAACAAGCAGGAGTCATACAGATCAAACATTTTGCGCTACAAGTGTTGCGCGTCGCGCATGCTTGAAGTGAGCTTTCCACGACGCGCCCATCGCACGTCGCACAACTCATGTGATTGATTTCTTCAGTGGTCCGTGCGGTTACATGTCGTTTGTGCGCATCTGCCCACGACGGGCCCGTTGCCGCCGCACTTGGGAGATCTGGTTGGGGCGCACCTCCTCATGGTCGAGGAAGTGCTCGGTGACAGCCCCGCTGTGAACAATACTCGCCCACCATCCGTGCAACAGTTGCTGCACCTTGCTGCTTGATTTATGTTCGTGAAATGTAACGGGCTATCCAGCGGCTGCCCCTTTTTGAGAAGCGGCCGTCCTTTCCCCTGTGTGGCGAGAGCCCCATTTTGAAAGTAAGACCGCCGTCTATCCGTACTCCAGGTTTCGTAATAAAAGGGAGGGGGTCTGGACTCTCCAAGACAAGCCATTTCAGACCCCCCCCCCGTGGGAGAACCCTCCAAAACGTCGTCCCCAGACCCCCTCAGGCCCTCCAAGATAGCCTGGAAGAGACCCCCCCCGAAATCAGACCCCCCTCCCTTTATTTAATCGCTTCGCTCATTCCGCCGGCCCATGTTGCTATATGTTTGTGTGTTCGTGGCGAGCGAGAAGAAGTTGGAGGAGGGGGAGGAGGAGGAGGATGAAGAGGGGAGGATGAGGACGAGGAGGCGGTCTCTCGATGGCTTCTTGGAGTATTTTTGGGGCCAACCCTGGTCGTGGACAAGACGCCTCTTTGGCAGGCTTCGTGGGGTCTCTTGGGAGGCCTCTCGGGGGCCGGTTGGAGGTGTTTTCGGGGCCTCCTGGGGCCTCTTGGGGGCTCCTGGGGGCCTCTTCGGGCAAAGATGTCGAAATGCCCGTTCGGGTCCCCCGTCTGTGCCCTCTCTTGGAGCCGTCTTGGGGGTGTATTGGGCCGTCTTGTAGGCCTCTTGGGCAGTCTTGGGGCCATCTTGGGCCGTTTGGGGGCCCTCTTGGAGACCTCTCTGGCCGTCTTGGGGCGGTCTTGGGGGCCTCTTGGGGCGTCTTGGAGCGTCGGAAGCTGAAAATGCGAGAACGCCAAAAACCTTCAAAAACCAATGGAAAATCAACGATTTCTGCTTCTTGGGGCCCTTTTTGGAGGCCTCTTAGATGCTTCTCGGGCCATCTTGGAGGCCTCTTGGGCCGTCTGGAGGCCATCTTGGGCGTCGTGGAGCGATCTTCGGGCGTCTGGGGCCCCTCTTGGACTATGTTTGGGGCCTCTTGGGGCCCTCTTGGGGCGATCTGGAGCCCTCTTGGGCTCCGAAACAGAATTCCGGCATCTCTGACCCCTAGTCTGCCGGGAATCTGCCGGGGATCGCCCGGGGTACTTTTCGCTCGGGGACCCCCAGGGGCCGCCCTGCGCGCGCGAACTAGAAATACTGTTTACCTGTTACCGGAGATCTTAGCACGCCCTGGCCCGTTGGGCCGGCGAATTACGAAATCTGGAGTATAGTAGTTTGATTTGTTCAGACGGCTGTCCGCGGAGCCAGGGCGAAAGTTTCGCTTCGGAAAAGAGTCGATGCCCGTTCGTGTAGAAGTCGTAAGTGTTCAAGACGGGGGCTTCAGGCGCCAGGGAGAGAGTCCTATTCTCAAGCGACACCCCCCATCCGTGTAACTGTCTGAACATGCTGAAGACGAGGGCCCGCGGCGCCAAGGCGAGAGCCCCGTTTTGGAGAAGACCCGCCCTCTACTCGTAGCGCTGCTGGGGGCCTCGAGTGACTCGGAGGGGGAACCTCCCGCCCACTCTGACAGTACATCTGGTGTGCGACAGGGAGGAGCTGTTTACAAGGAGCAAGCAGGGATGCAGGATGGATGATGAGGAGGAGGACGACGTAATCTTCAGATGGCGGCTCCTCAGGCGCCGTTTTTGTGCGCGGTTCACCGCTTCGTTCTGCGGACTCTTCGGCAACGGTGTGGGAGGGTGCAAGAGACTCCTCACGAGACCCGCCGAAGAGGCGGACGAAGGATAGGGTGCGGAGGGGAAGAGTGGTGGGTGCGGAAGAGGCGGAGGCGGGCGGGGGAGAGGCTGCGCACCACCAGTTTCTGGGGCCAGGCGCGGGGAGACCTTGGCATCCCATTGCCACTCGCGTTCTTCCACCTCTTCGGTATCCTCCCCTGTTGCTTTCCAGGGCTCGGGCTAAATTGTGTGTGTTGGCCATTTCGTGGACCGCTTTCGTCTTGATTTCGTTTCGCAGCAAAGGCAGAACGAAGACAGACCGAAGGACAACGAACACAGCACGGAAACGAGAAAGCGCTGCTGAGCTCGAGCCCTGCTGCCTTCCACTTCCATCTCTCCTCCTCCATCTCTCTGCCCCCCCTTCCTCTTCCGCCCCCTCTTTCCATTCCTGCTGCCCGCCTTCCCCCTCCCCCGCTGCAGGGGAGGGCAGCGGCGGGCGCCGCGGCCCGCGCGCGGCGACGCTGGCCAGGTGGACTTCTTGACGCTGATGGTATTCTTCCATGTTTTGATGGGTGCCATTGACGAGGAGGCGCCGAGAGTCTCGCTTTGCCGTGTCCCGCTCCGTCGCGTCGCGCCTGGTCCGCCGCCCCACCCCCGTCCCCTTCCCGCTTCCTTTCCCCCTGGGGGTGAAGGAGGGCGAGGGAGGGAGCGCGGAGGAGGGCGCGGGTCGTGGCGGGAAGCGGGTCGCGGGCGAGTGCTAACGGAACACGGGTATTGAGCAGCGTGACCCAGAGTGTTGCCCGAGCTAAACAACAATGGTCATTGCGCGCGAGTGCTGCGACAATCCAGCCCGCCTCTCCCCTCCTCCCTTGTTCCCCCTTCCCCTCCCTCCGATGTCGACATGACCTGACAGGGCGCAGTTTGCGAAGCGTCTGGGCACGTAGACGTGAGGAGTTTTCACACGAGGCGAACATGAGGTGGGACGCGCTTGTCCGAGCGGGAAGGCAGGACGGCCACCGCATCCCAGACCCTGAATTCGGTCCGTGGTGGGGGTTCACAGAGCGACGTCATCGTGGTATTCAGCGCGCGCGGAAGTTCACCCTGGGCGGCGAGGATACCGACCAGTTGCAGCCTCATTGGTTTTGTGAGTTCGCATTCGAAGTGATCACGGGTTCGCCACGCATGCCCCCTTGTTTTTGCAGACAGCAGTGCTCGCGCGCTTACTGCCCTGCCGTTTCGGTGCGGTGACTCTGGCCCAGGTGGGCGCCACGAGTGGCACACTTGCTCCGGCATCCGACGTGGAGGTCCGCGAGCCGTGCTCGCACCGCTTCTGGCTGGCCTGGCGCCGAGCAGCACGCGCAGCGCTGGCAATGGGAAGCGTGGTGCTGAGGAAAGGGTGTCCTAGGATCTTTTGGGCGCTTTCGGTTTCCATCACCACCCACCAAACCACCCCAACCCAACCCGAAGGCTCAGATTTGCCCTCGATTTCTAGTGGGGGGGGGGTCCGAGAACATCGAAAAAACACATGTGGAGCCCCTACCGCCCCGACCCGAAATTCGGGTCTGCGGGTCGGGTTGGGGTGGTCTGGTAGGTAGTCATTCCAAGGGCAGTCAGAAAGCGACTCGGGAGTCCCTCCCGGATCGATTGGGCCGCGCGCGCACGCCGCACGGCGAGGCGTGAGCGAGCGTTGGCCCTGCAAGTGCCCCTCCTCCTCCTCCTCCTTCTCCTCCTCCTCCTCCTCCTCCCTCCTCCTCCTCGTCCAGGCGCCGATGGGCGCGGACAGCCCCAAGAAGGGGTCGCGGCCCCAAGGCGACTTGCACCAAGGAGCCGTCGGGGCAAGTCGCGCTGGTTCTCTCGCATGCCCGGTCGGGTCTTCCTCTGAGCGCTCCACTCCTTCTTCAGTGCTCATCTTGGGTGTCGCCCTGGCGAAAGCGCGAAGCCCAGGGACGCGCTTCGGAAAATCGCGCAGGGGCCCGTTCCTCACGACGCCCTCCGCAGGTTTGCGTGGGTCATTCAAGTAGCAGGGGGGACAATTGGGAAGCGGGCTCCCTCGTCAGATATTCCGGTGGCGTGGGGGAAAGCTCCGTTCCGATCCGCTCCGTGGGATTGATGCCGTGCCCTTTCCAGGTTTCTTTCGCCCCGGGATCACCCCTTTCACTGTGCCGCCGCTTTTCACAACATTCACACGTGTCTACTTCTTTTCATGCCGTCAAGGGTGTCGCCGTTCAAAATGAATCCCCTCAGCAGCCCGTCCGGAGGGGCATTCGTCCGTATCACAGCATTTCATCATAAGGACAACCAGGACATCGTTCGCTGTCATCAACATCATCATCACTATCAGCATCATCATCACCATCATTATCATCACCATCAGCATCGTCACCATACCATCATCACCATCATCATCAACATTTATCACCATTATCACCATCACCATCAGTATCACCATCATCGTTATCATCATCATCATCATCATCATCATCATCAGCATCATCATCATCACCATCACCATCATCATCATCATCATCACCATCGTCATCATCATCATCAGCACAATCACCATCACCATCACCACCATCACCATCACCACCACCATTACCACCACCAACATCATCATCATCATCATCATCATCACCATCACCATTATCATCGTCATCACAACCACAATCATCAGCATCATCATCAGCATCAGCATCAGCATCAGCATCAGCATCATCATCATCATCATCACCATCATCATCATCATCATCATCATCATCAGCACCACCATCACCATCACAATCATCATCATCATCATCATCAGCATCATCATCATCATCATCACCATCATCCTCATCATCATCATCATCATCATCAGCATCATCATCATCATCATCACCATCATCCTCATCATCACCATCATCATCATCATCATCATCATCATCATCATCATCATCATCATCATCGTATGCCCCGCATCACCGCCGTCAGGGGGGCCACCCCTCGCTATGCGCCGTGGCCCCCCTTGCCGACGCGTCGCGCGCGTGCTCTCCCCACACCGTGCACGCCTCTGCTGCCCAGGGTGCGCCTCTCGGCCCGGCGCCCCGCGCCGCGCCCGCGCCGCTGTGCCGCGCGCCGCGGTGCCGCGCGCCGCCGCCTCCTCGGCCTCGGCCTCTCGGCGGGTGGTCGCCCGCGCAGACGTCGACGGTCTCGATTGGCAGGTCGTCGCGCCGTCGCCAGCGCGGGCTCGTGCGGCCGCGCTTCGGCGGCGAGCGAGGGGGGGAAGCGAGAAGGAGGAGGATTCCTCGGAAGGCTCGGAGGTCCCCGCGGCGTTGCGAGGAGCTCCCTGAGCCTTCCCCCCCCCCCCCCAGACCGGCAAAGGCCTCTCCGAGGGCGCGAGGGCGCGAGGGCTTCGGAGCAGTCCCGCCGCCCTCTGAGAAGGCCCTCTCCTCCTCGCTTTCCCCCCTCGCTCGCCGCCGAGCGGTGCCCCGCATGCCGGCTGGGCCTCGTGGGCGCAGCCGCGCTCCGCGGGACTGCGCCGCATCCTCGGCGCCCGGCGACCGATGGGGGGGCAGGCGGTCCGAGCGCGTCCCGCAGCGCGCCGAGAGGCGCGCTTTCCGCGCGGCTCGCGCGCGTCTTCGGGAGCATGCTTCGCGGCGGAAGCGGCCAGCGCGCGCTGTTCGCCGCGGGTGCCGGGTTCGCCTGCTCCCACAGTGACGGGGCCTCCTCCCTCTCTCCCTCCGATTGTGAATGCGTGCCATATTTTCACCGACAGGTTTAGCTAGTGGACGTATATCCTTGATTTGCGGTGGTGTGTGTACTATCGTTTGTACTGTTGCATACGCAGGACAGTGTGAGTGCACCGTGGTTCGCACGTTGGCTCAAATCTAAAAACCTTTGACTGCCGCTGCTGCTGCCACAGTTGGTAGCGGAGCGGTGGAAGCCTCGGGACCAGGGGTTCCCTGACTGCGCGCCGGCATGGCGAGCAGCACGGGAGCTCGGCGGCTCTGAGGCGACCTCCGCGCCGAGCAGGCCGACTGGCGTGGTTCCACGGCATGACAGGGGAAGAGGACAAGAGCGGCGAGGGGTTCGCCGGGGCGGTGATCACTGGGCCAGAGGGACAGCCGAGTGCAGCCACCGCGGGCTTGACGACCGAGCAGCTGAAGGAGATGATTGCCGGAGTAGTCAGGGAGACTATGCAGTCGGCGACCGCTTCGAGGGCAGCCGCGTCAAGCCAACCAGGGGAAGGAACTTGGGATCCTTGGTCAGCAGCAGCGGGCAACATCGAGAAGGATCCCAACGACAAGAACAAGAAGGACGGCAACATGAAGGACAACGAGCTCGACCAGGATCAGGTCAACGCGGACCGGTGGAGACCGCACCACTGGACCAGCGACGGCTGGAGCCGCGATGACAGCTGGGGCTGGCACAACTCCTGGGGCTCATCAGGCAGAGGAGACTTCTCCGACCCGCCAGCATGGCCAGGTTGGAGTCACTACAGGCAGTGGCGCAAAGCTCTGACGCGCTGGGACACAAACACCGACGTACAAGTGTGGCGCAGAGCAGAGAAATTCCTCAAGCTATTCGATCGGGGCATGCAAGCCAAGTTCGAGGATATCCCAGAGGCCACCCTCAGCAGCAACAAGTGGCTCGAGACGGTGCCTGGTCGCATGGACATGATGATTGGAGAACGATAAGGAGACCATCTCCGTCGCACAGGACGCAAAGCACTGTTCGAAGCTAGCCGTGATCCAAAAGAGACTCTCACCCAGTTCGTCAGTAGAAGGGAGGCTCAACTTCAAGAAGCCGAGGGTCACGACATGTGGTTATCATCCAAGCTGAAAGGACTTCTACTCGAGGAGGGGGCTGGGCTCACGCCTCAAGGCCTCCAAAACTTGCGCACTCTCACGCGGGGACAGCTCGACTATGAGAGCGTTTCGTGGGCGCTGAGGCAGATGGACTCCACTGGCACTGAGCGCCTGTTGCCTGGCCGATTTTCTCTAGGCACAATGCACGTTGCCGGCGGCACTGAGGACGAAGAGCCCAGTGCCGACGGCATGCATAAGCATCAGCCCTACTCCTCCACTCCCTCCGGTGGTTTCATCGGTGCTGCCGACGAGGACTTGGGGGATCTCGATGAAGAGACTGACGACGAGGAAGAAGAAGATGAAGATGGATGAGGCAGCTATCATGGCAGAACTGGAGGATCTCGACCTCTACGAGGATCAGGTCGACGAGGCGCTAGCAGCCATCGCCACGCGCCCAGTCAACAGGACCTGGAAGCAGAACAGAGATATCAAGCGTGCAGCAAAGAAGGACCGCGAATACTTTGGAGGTCGTGCTCGAGCATCCGAGGCCAACATCCCGCCACCACCTCGGCTCTCACCTCAAGCCCGTCGAGACGATCGCGGGCGAGGACGTGGGGGCCGGGGCAGAGGGCGTGACCGGGACCAGAGGCCAAGGAGGTTTCCCAAGCTGACTCTGGAGCAGCGCATGAAGGTTACCAAGTGCAAGCTTTGCCACCCGAAGGGTCACTGGGCTCGAGAGTGCCCTACCAACAACGGCGGCAGCAGGACAGACAGGCAGAAGCTCTCGGCCTACACCTTCACC